CAGTTCAACAAACACCTATTATAAACACCAAATGGAGTTAGTTGTGCCTAAACAAGAACCATTTGTTTTGTTTGTTTGTTTATTGTTTCATCATTAAACTGCCCCAAAACATAAGACACTAAAATGAAATCTAGTTATCAACCAGACTTGAATTTGGAGTCACCTTCCCATTGGGCAAATGGATATTTAAGGAACTAGCTTGAAGCTACCTGGTGGCTACCTGGGAGTCGGGGGACATTTGTGAAGATAAAAAAGAAAGCCCATAAATATAAAAATCTCCATGTCTGGTGCCTAACATGTAGTGGATGCTCAATCTTTTCTTGAAGAAATGTTGGGTTATTCTGGGCTAACTTGGGCCAGCTCCTCTGTCTCATTACGGCCAGTTGCTCTGAGTTATAGCACAGCTGAGAGTGGGTAATTGTCAGATTGTATGTAGGTAGGACTCCTAGAAAGGACAGCCTCTTAGGAAGCAAAAGCCCAACGTTTCTGGAACACGTTTCCAGAAACCTCTTACCAGAGGAGTTGCTCTGAGCATTCTGTGAGGTGACGCCCCTCCCTCCCTCCATGCATTATTTTAAAAAGTGAATCGAGACTTCACTCACGTGTCTTTCCGCAGGCCTGTGCACATCTGTCCCTCTCCCTTATCTTAATAAAACTCTTGTTAGTGGGGAAAAAAAAAGTGAATCGATGCAAGCATCCAAGGAGACAAGTATTGTTCTCATGCTTGGGAAGAGGTGATGAGTAGATCACATGAGATCTCTACCCCAGTGGTCCATTCATTTTCCGACAAAGCACATCCTGCTATCACCTAACATCAGTACCTTCTTCAGGATGGACAGCAAAGTGCCCCAGAAGGAGTAATCAGGTTAGAAGTGAGAGGACCCATTTGAATCCAGGATCTACACCTTGCCGGCTGTTCATTTCTTGGAAATCAGAATGTTCTGGAAGGAGTACGTAAACCCGAGGCCTGTCCATTAAAATGGGCATAATGCCTGCCTTGCTGAGGTCCTGTGAAACCGAAGAGTCATACTGATGACAAATCACACACTCTGGCCACTAGCGCACAGTACTTGCTCCATTAACTGTTTTCCTTTGTTTATTTATGTCGTTTGAATGGCAACCCTTTGTTACCTTAAAGAAAAGCTAGTTCAGAAGCCTGTCAAAGAAGAAAAATATCCAGGGATAGGAGGCTTCCTCTAAGCACATCCTACAAAAGAAGCATATTTTCAATCATTTTTGAGGCAGCATATTGACCCGGAGTGTGTTAGTAAAAAAAGTAGCAAAAACATGACTTCTCATTAACCATAACATCTTAGTCATCTGTCCTTTTTTTTACTCCATCCTGAAAGGAGTGGATAAGAAATGCCAACCAAATTTGGGAACAAATTTGGGTTGAGGGAGACAGAAGCAACTAACTAGGGGTGTCTGAATAAAACCCCTAATGAGAACCTCAACCTCAAAGATCTCGAAAGAGGAGGTCGCAGCGTAGAGGTGCAGGGAAGGGGGCTGAAATTGGGGGGTCCTTTGGAAGTCTGTGGTAGGAGCAATTAGAATCCCAGCGGCTGCTCCTGTCACCTCTTAGGCCTGCCTGGGCCACCAAGAGGCTGAGCCAGCTGCTCCCATCACAACAGAAAGGCTGGGGGGGAGACTCAACCAAAAAAAAAAAAAAAAAAAAAAAGCCCCAGAACCAGCTACACAATTAGTGAAACTCTACCTCTGAACTTAGCTCCCCAAATGATATTAGGCAGGATTTGTTTTTGGTTTTCAGTCTAGTTTTATATTTTAGTTAAAAAAAAATATCACAGTGGACAAAGTCACGGCAGAATCTCCTTCACTCCCGCTCCTTGCCAACGCCAGCGCTAGCCTCCGCGTGCCCTGACCTCTGCTTTCTGTTCCTGTATTCATTATTGCTACCGAAGGTTCATTCTCTCCTGATGCAGACCATGTCTCTTAAGCGTGTGCGTGGGCTCCGTTCTCTTTGTGTCATCCGAGGAATCCTATATCATGCCAGAGCCAGTTGTCTCCCCAGCCCCCAGGATGAGTTCTGAATCCAAATACAAAGATGGCGTCGAATATGGTCTTATCCAACTTGCCTGGGTTTTTGTTTTTCCTGAATCTTTGTCTTAGATGCTCTTGTATTCCAGGAGTGAGGGACATTGGAAGCTTTTTGTTTCCTTGGAAGGACTCAGTTGGTCATAAACGTCCAGATCTGGCTAGTTACTGTGTCGTGATGGCACCCAGCCTTCAGGCAGCCAAGGAGGAAACAGGCAGTCAGCCAGGTTTGCACAGGGCTTGTCCCTGTCTTGCCCACCAGCAACCCAGGAGATGGAAGACTTCCTCTTGTAGCAAGGGATCTGCCCAACAGTCAAAATCTGCACGTACCGATGGACATCGGGAATTCCCAACAAGCTCTTCGCCTTCTACCTAGTGAATCCATCACAAGTGAGGCCCTCTGGGCAAGAAATGCCACAAAACAGCGAGACAGGCAGTCTAAAGAAAGGAAATAGTCACCCCAAAAGATCAAATATCCAAATTGTGGAATATATCCAGGTCAGATGACTGAAGAAAATTAATAAAATAATACTATGCCAGAAATAAAAGGCATGGGTTTCTTGATTCAAAATCATCAGCCCAGCATCTAACAATGGAGAAACAAAAGCAAAAACTCATCACCGTGAATTTTCAAAACAGAGGTAAGCAGGAGATCCTAAAAACAGCCAGACAGGAAAAGAAAGAAAGAAAAAAGGAAAGGAAAGATGACCCACAGCAACAGGAATCCAAACAGCAGGCCCTTCCATCAGGAAGTGAGACACCAGGAAGCAATGGCCTCAGGATTATAGACAGGCGATGTCTGAGACCTATCAGCGGTGGTCTCATTAAGCTCCTTCGGGCAAGCTTCTGGAAGACCCAGCCCACTAAGATTATAGGAGAAGGCTCGGGGTATAGCTCAGTAGAGCATACAGCATTTGCCAGCACATCTGAAGCCCTGGCCTCCATCCCCAGGCCGGCAAAACCAACAGCAAGCGACTTAAAAAAGAGAAGTCCTCACGGTGGGAAGCGTGGCTCCATGGGTGAAGAGCTCGCCTTGCAAGTGTGTGGACCTGAGCTGGATCCCCAGCCCTCATGGAAAAATCCAAGTGGAACAGGGACAGCGTGTGGGTATAATTCCTAAGGAGCCAGAGACAGGAAGCCCCTGGGGCTCACTGGCCAGCCAGCCAGCCCAGCCTAGTCAGCAGACACCCAGTTAAAAGGTCTAACTTGAAATCTTGTCTCAAAATAGGTAGGTAGGTAGACAGACAGACAGACAAGTGGAGAAGCAAGACATTGATGAAAGAAATTGAAGGAGGTACAGATAAAGGGAAGAATATCCAAAAATAAATAAACGAAGTATGGTGGAGAGCAATTGAGGGAGATGTCTGACATTGACACCTGGCCCATATGCAGGCACGCATGTACACACACACACACACACACACACACACACACACACACACACACACACACTAAAATTCTAAATAACAACCAAAAGAAAGCTCCAAGAAATTTTTTTAAAAAGGATGAAATCTGAGGCCGGGCGGTGGTGGCGCACACCTTTATTCATAACAGTAGCAAGGTAGATCTTTGTGAGTTCAAGGCCAGCCTGGGCTACTGAGTGAGTTCCAGCACAAAGCTACATAGAGAGACCCTGTCTCGAAAAACCAAAAAAAAAAAGTATGAAATCTGGTTATAGCGCATACTGAAGTGAAGCCTTGATAGGAACAGACCAAGTTAGAATATAAACCTGATAGCCACGGAGGCATACCACTCCAGCCTCCCTTTAAAGCAGTGGTTCTCACCCTTCCTCATGCTGGGACCCTTTAATATAGCTCCTCATGTTATGGTAAACCCTAACCATAAAATTACTTTATTGCTACTTCATAACTATAATTTTGCTACTGTTATGAATCGTAATGTAAATATGCACAGTATCTGATATGCAATGCCCCCCTTCCCCACCCCCCCCACATTGGGTCACAACCCACAGGTTGAGAACCAGTGCTTTAAAGGATACCTTGACTAAGGAGTGTGTTACGCTAGGGCTGGGTCCCCTGCTGTCCTCACAGAGAATGACACTATCAGAGTATTGCAAGAGAACTGAGCAGCTAGCTGGTCCCACCCAGAGCATCACCAGGATCTGTTCTGGTTCTCCCTTGGGACTGGCCTTGAATTACTCAGGACTCTACCGCAGTCTAAAGGTTCTGTCCAGGCCCCTTTCCCTCCCAGAAGTCCTCAGCTTAGAGCCTGTAACCCTTCCTAGACATCTTCCCTGATACACACTGCGCATTTCAAGGACAGGTGTTAACATAACCAGTAGAGTGAGAGACCAGAAGAAGGAAACCTGACGGGGAGGGCAAGATGGACTATTAAATATCATTTGTAAACAGGGTCTGGTGCAGTAGACCTGCAGTGTACTCAACAAACAGGCTGTGGCAAGACCACAAGTTGAAGGCTTGCCTGGGTGACAGAGTGAGTTCAAGGCCAACCTGGGCCACTTAATGAAACTCTGTCTCAAAAGTTCAAGAGTCCTGGGGATACATCTTGGAAGTAGAGTGCTTGTCTGGCATGGATGAGGCCCCAACTTCCCACCTTGCAGTTTAGGAAATCCATACATAGGAATACTCAATTCTATTTTGTAACATGAAGTATTGCCTTGATGCTTGAACCAAAACAAAGTCAATTATATTTAAGGTCAGTAGATAACACCTATATGTCCCTGATAGGAAGACAAAGAAATACCAAAACAAACTCATGGTTTAAAAATGAGAAAGAAAGGCACACACTTTTAATCCCAGCCCTCGGGAAGCAGAGCCAGGCGGATCTCTGTGAGTTCAAAGCCAGCCTGGTCTACAGAGTGAGATCCAGGAAAGGCACAAAGCTACACAGAGAAACCCTGTCTCGAAAAACAAAAAAAAATAAAAAAATAAAAAAAAAATAAAAGAAAGAAAATGTCAGGGAAAAAAGTCAAACAAAAAACCCACTGGAAGAGTTAAGAATGGTTGTCAGGCGAGGAACAGAATGGGGTGATATGTGTGGAGAAAAGAGATCAGTGGTGGCACTTTGAAGGGTAGAATGGGGTGATATGTGTGGAGACAGGAGACCAGTGACAGTGTTGTTTGTTTGACTCGCTAGGAGAAGTTGCTTATTAAGCCCATTGGACATGGTGCTGATAAGGGTGTATATTTACACAGCGAAACACGCTCAGTGAAAACTGAGATAAGATCCCAGCGTGGAGGGACACGCCTTCAATCCCAGCTCTCGGGAAGCAGAGGCAGGTGGATAGCTGCAATCAAAAGCAAGTCCAGTCTCCTGCCTAGCTATTGGCTGTTTAGCCTTTTATTAAACCAATCATAGCAATATATCTTCACACAGTGCACAAATATCCCACAACAGTCATCTGTATCAGGAAAAACCATGGGGCTGGAGAGATGGCTCAGAGGTTAAGAGCACTGGCTGCTCTTCCAGAGGACCTGGGTTCAATTCCCAGCACCCACATGGCTGCTCACAACTGTCTGTAACTCCAGTTCCAGGGGCTCTGATGCCGATGCACATGAAATAAAGTTAAATAAATAAAAAAAAACTATAAAAAAAGAAAGAAAAGAAAAAGCACAGTAAAAATATATACACGAGACCAGAAACCCCCAAATGCCTCCCCGCTACCCCTACCCCAATCAGCCTCTTCATTCTGAGGGCAAGAAGCCACGCTGTTCAGCATAAAAGAAGAACCTACCTGGAGGTTTTTAATAAGAAGAACCAATAGGCAGGCCATTCTTTAATCAACTCTCCATTTGATGAAAGAGTTCCATGTTCACGTGTATAAAAATGAAAACTTTCAGGGGCCGAGTGCAGAGCTCACTAGTGTCCATGCAGCGTGACCAAGGCTCTGACTTTAGTCTTTGATCCCAAGCTTTGCAAAACAAACAAAAACTTGGACACAAGAAAAAGAACTGTAATTACAAGCCCAGGGATACTTCCTATTCACTGTTTTCTTTTTGGCTTTTTTTTTCTTTTCTTTTTCTTCGGTCTTTTCCAGCACTTTGAAGTCTTATTTTATGCATAATTTAATATTCTGATTTTCTATTTAAAATTTTATCAAATGCTCCTTGTACTACTAAAACCTCTTTGTGAGCATCTTTTTTTTTTTTTTTTTGAAGTCTGTGTAATAGAAGTAACATAATTTTCCCAGTCGTTCTTCCTTGTTGGACCTTTAAAAGTTATTTCCAATTTCCAATGCTACGATAAACTTCTGGTATGAACATCTCTGGCCTCAGTTCAGATTATTTTCTTCCAATACACTCCCGAAAGCAGAGTCAGTCAATGACATGAACATTTTTAAGGCTAAGTAAACCATTTTTTTTTTCAGGTGGGTTGTTGAAGTTTATTTAATATTTAATACCAGACTGTGCAGAGTAGATGAGTAAACCAGCAAGCTCATGGCCAGCATACAACTTAGAGAGCATGTCACACGCACAGGGAAAGCCACACTGGGCTCAGCACAGCTCACCTCCCTCAGTTCCAAAGGAAGCCATTAATCTAAATTTCTGCTCTCCGAGATTTTTTTTTTTTCAGGGCTAGAACTTGAACTTACAGTCTTTCTCTTAAATAATAAGGGGTATGGGGTGTAGCTCACTGGGAGTGTTCCTGCCTAGCCCTTGCAAGCCCTGGGTTCCATTCTTAGAACCACAGAAAACAGAGAGATTCCCACCCAGCACTGAGTAGGATATACAGCATCACAGTGTGACCTCTGGGCATTTGGGGCACGAGAAAGCCATTCTCCAGGATGGTAACAAGAGAACTCTACAAGGTTCTGAAAGAAGCAAGTTTGTGTCATCCATGACATTTATCTAAAAGCTATGTATGACAGGCTGTGTCTTTTTATCTTTTCCATAAATTTCTATGCATTTCAAAGAAATCTATCTACAGTGTCCGCATAGGGTTTCGTGGATGATGGTTCCATATATGGATGATGTCTGCATAGAGTTTTGTTGATGGTTCCAGTTGAAGATTTTTGACCCTAGCTTTACTTTAATTTTTAAAGCATGTATGTATATGTATGTGATATGTACATGTGTATGTGCATCTTCATATGTGTGTAGGTATGTAGGCCTATGCAGGTGCATGTGTGTGTGTGTGTGTGTGTGTGTGTGTGTGTGTGTGTGTGTGTGTGTGTGCATGGCTGCAGGTTCAGATATTAGAGGTTGTCACTGTGTGTCCTCTCTGGCCTCCACCCAAGGCCAGAGCTCGCTGATTTGGTTAGTCTAGGTAGCCAGCTTGCTCTCCACATCCTGAAACCGGGATGGCAAATGGGTCACTATATCCACCAGACTTTTATGTGGGTGCTGGGGATCTGAAGTTTGGTCCTCACTCTTGCAGAACAGACACTTTACTGGTTGAACCATCTGCTCAGCCCCCCTGACTCCACTTTTAGGTGAAAGTGAAATGGTCCAAATGTGTCGGGCTTGCAATCCTGGCTTCCCTTGCCCTGTGCCTAACCATGTGATCAAAGAAGCTCTGTCAGTTCTCAGCACAACCTTCACAAAATGAAGGTGGCCAGACATCTGGATTTCAATTTAAGGGACCCGTAATAAGCAGCTGTCCCAGATTCTCCCTAAATTACCAGAACCGCATGTTGCCTATACATGTTAAAGACTGAGTAGGTCCTGCTTGGTAGGGTTGAAGTTTGGCTTTGAACTTTAGGAAAACCTAGATATAGCCAGTGCTTGTTCACTTTCTTATATCATGAATCTCTCTAGAAAATTGAATTCTTCCTAAAGGATAGATCCCTGGGCCCAGGGGTGTGACTCAGTTGATAAGAGTGCTTGCTTAGCATGCAGTAAACCCTGGATTTGATTAATGCCAGACTTCAGAAGTAGAGACAGAAGGATCAGAAGTTCAATGTGCTCCTCAGCTATGTAGCAAATGTGAAACCAGCCTGGGATACATGAGACCTTGCCAGGGAGTACAGTGTGTGTGTGTAAATATATCATTCCTCTAAAAGGTATACCTACACAAAGCGTTTCTCAGCAACATGGGATTAAAGACCTCCTTGTCCCTGATTCATGGGCCCCCTCCTCTAGGCTTCCTATATTAATAGGTAGGAAGACCGCAATTGGGAAGATTTACGCTGCAAGAATTTACTTCTCCTATTCTAGAGACTGCAAATCCAAGATGACAGGTCAACACGATTGGCTCTTTTGAAGCCTTTCTTTTTGACTTGGGGATGGCCACCTTTTTCCTGTACGCTCATGTGTTATTCCTTCTATGTGTGTCCATGTCCTAATGCTATGAAGACACCATTCCCACTGAATTAAGATCCACTATAATGACCATTTTGACACAAGGATCCATTTCAAAACCCTGTCTCCATGCATGGTCACACTCTGGGAGACCTGGAGTTAGGACATCATCATATAAACCTGGAAGGATACCCATTTCCACCCATAGCAAATCCCCAAGCTAATCACTGTAACCCAGCGAGGTCCAGAGACTTGAACAGGAGAGGCAGAGCAGCAGCAACTCAGGTATCATGTCGTCCAGTCTTCCACAGCCCTCTGCCTACTGTCTCTGTGCTTTTTAAGACCGGGGTGTGTTGTCCCAAAAGCCTGCAGGCAGAGTCCAAAGGGTCACTTGAGGTGAGACAAGAGTGGAGGTATGGCCTTTGCCCCAGCTCTCTGGTGACATCAGGATGAGACTGAGGATCCTGGTCACTCTCCAGTTCCCCTAGGATACCAGTGCAATACCCAATGTAACCTCAGGGAGTCTTCATAGTGGCTTCTGAGGGACCAATGAGGTAATGAAGGTGCCAGTGTGATCCAGGTCCAGGGTTACCTTCCGTCTACTACTAAGATCCAGAGGAAGGTATGGACTGGGGTCTCCTGGAGCCTTGAAAATAAAGGACTTTGGTTACAAATCTCAAATCTGGAGGCACATCACCATCATGCTTTCTCCCATTACAGTTGTAACTGTGTCAGGGACCTCATATGTTCCCCTCTAAGTGTGGAGGTACTACAGTCTCTGCCACCTCAGCCACAGCCTCCCTGGCAGAGTCCCAGAAACCTTTATAGTGGGCTGGAGAGATGGCTCAGTGGCTAAGAGCACTGGCTGCTCTTTCAGAGGTCCTGAGTTCAGTTCTCAGCACCTATATGGTGGCTCACAACCACCTATAACTGTAGTCTCATGGGATCAGATGACATTTTCTGGTGTGCAAATAGATGTACATGCAGACAAAACATCCATATATATAAAGTAAATAGGGGGCTGAGAGATGGCTCAGTGGTTAAGAGCACTGGCTACTCTTCCAGAGGTCTTGAGTTCAATTCCTAGCACCCACATGGTGGCTCACAACCATCTATAATGAGATCTGGTGCCCTCTTCTGGCTTGCAGATACAGCACTCATATACATAAAATATAAATAAATCTAAAAAAAAAGAACAAACAAATAAAATAAATCTTTTTTGAATAAAAGACTTCATCTGAGGTGGAAAATAGCTGTGTGTGTGTGTGTGTGTGTGTGTGTGTGTGTGTGTGTGTGTGTGTGTGTCTCACATGTCAGGCACTCTTGAGTGTACATGAGGCACACCCTTCATGTGGAGGTCAGAGTCTGTTCTCACCTTTCATCCTGTGAGCTCCAGATGTCAAACTGAGGACTTAGGCAGCAAATACCCTTACCCACTGAGCCATCCTGCCAATCCAGAGACTTGCCATTCAAGAATTATCACCTTAGTTCTGGAAGGAGTGTATATATGTAGCTGCTCTCTTTGGATGTCTTTACTTATGATGATTTATTTTGGGATTTGTTTTCCAAGCACAAGTTTACTACATTTTCTGCTTTGAGTGCACACATGCATGTAATTAGTGAGTGTGTGTGTGTGTGTGTGTGTGTGTGTGTGTGTGTGTGTTTCCTCTGTTGTTTGCAACACCTCCCAGTTGGGAATCATTTGTAAATTTAGTTAATGAGCATTTAACACATTCCCTTTGATAAAGCTGTTAAGTCGGAGCTCTACACTGGCATCCCACCAGACATCTCCCCCTTGCGAAAGCCATTGTGTTTACCTATTCTTAACTGCTTAGCGATGGTTTCTTATTTGTTGGCCCAATAGGGAACTAACCTTTAGTCTTCTCTGGGAGAAAAAAAAAAAATGGTGCTTGAGTTTTGTAAGGAAATGCTTACATCTGTATTCCAAGCAGGTCCACTCTCCTGGCAGGCTTTCATTTTCACCAAACAAAATGAGCGGCAGGCAGAACAAACATTTCAGAGTCACCTTAACTGGCCCTGCCGGTGGCAGCCATGTACAAGCCAGAGCTGTCGGCTTTTGCAAGAACAAATAGCAATCCAACACCTGCAGGCTCCACCGGCAGCGAGGTTGCCTGGATTTAATTATGGCTTGATCTCCAGAAAGGGAGTGTGTCAAGTGTGCTTGTCAATCACTTAGAGAAAGCAGAGTCGGCAGCAGAGTGGCCCTGGGATTTGCCCACAAGATGAGCCCTCCTTACCATCAGCACATCCAGGAAACACGGGCTGTTCCAAACTGAAGACTGATCCAGAAGCAGCATACAGGGGACTTTAAAAGTCAGGTACTTAAAACTAAGTATAATTGAAAATCTAGAAGTAAGCAGAAGGAAAAGCTCCCGCCAAATATTCATGTTGATGCCAAACAGGAAGCCATCTCTCTGCTTAGAAACAACTTCTCCCTCCATAAATTCTTGAGTGTGCACATACAGGGGGAGACACGCGTGTGCCAGTGTGTGGAAGACAAAGGATAACTTTCTGAAGATCGTTCTCACTTTATACCTTGTTTGAGACTGAGTCTCTGCAGCTGCACAGCCTACCCCAGGCTAGCCCGTGAGCTTCCGGCCACACTCCTATCTCTGCCTCCTCATCTTGACATAGGAATGCTGCGATGTGAGCCATCACGTCCAGATTTTTAGGTAGGTTCCAGGGATTGAACTCATGTCATCAGGCTTGTGTGGCAAGTAGTTTGACCCATTCAGTCGGCTCCCTGCCCCGCTGTCCCCCCCCCACCTCCCCACTGCATTCATTCTGGTCTGCTATATTTGCACTCCTTGGCTCCTTGGCCACCTTTTTCTGAGTTCAAGAATATTTTAAATCTGCAGTTTCCTGCTTCTCAGTAAATTCCATGCCAGTCTTCAAATCAATATACAGACATACATGGAATGCATATGCCTAAGCTCGCACTTTCTCTCTCTCTCTCTCTTTTTCTATGTCATACACCACACACACACACACACACACACACACACACACACACACACACACACTCCACTTTTGGTCTGTTCTAAAGTCAGAAAAATGGATCCTGGTAGCAGTTAGATTAACCGTGGGCATAGCACATCGACAAAATCTGTTATCTAGGTCTGGTCACCAAACAAGACAGGGCACAGAGATTTCACCTTCCGACCTTTAGACCGCTAGGGAGTTGGTCACGGGAAACTGCTGAGTCCTATGCAGGCACAATTTAAGGGCATCCCTGCACCCCTTTGCTTTGCACTGTGCCAATGAAAGACAAAGAAAAGAGAACCAATATACGGTGTGAAATTCTAGGGAGCTTTTCTAGCCCAAGTCACCTAGCCATCTATAGCTGGAGGAACCTGGAGAAGCCTTTTATATTGTGAGTGGATGATGGGAAACGCAAGAGAAAAACTGGAGCTGCCACACGGTGTTGGCTCAAGGTGGAGCCAGGGTGACTCACCCTGTGCAAACATCATGGGTTGTTGATTGCCGAAGACATGATTGACCCAAACCTACCTGATTCTAGGTAGGTCACTGGCTCCAGAGCTTCATTTTTGTCCTTGTCTTCCTCCTCTGTGGCTTTGGGATAAAAGGCAGTAGCGTGGTAAGAGAGCAGACTCATCCCGCATCTGTCTCAAGGCCTTGAGTGCATCTGAAGGAAGCCCTCTGGAGAACCTCTGGTGTCCGTGGTCACCAGTGGTGGCCTTTGCCATGGGTGAATAAGCTTGATAAGACCAGTCAGCCTCAAAGATATGGAGAGAGATGGTTGATACTAGTAAGGCCGTTGGATTCCGAAAACGTCTGAAAAATAGGGACTAAGGACAAGAACGGTGAGCTTTCCATTCCATTGTATGTGGACACGCGTGTGTAGGTATGCACGTCGAGGTGAAAAGACAACTTCTGGGCATCAGTTCCTTCCTTCTCCCATCTGGATCCCTGATACCAGACTTAGATCTTCAGCCTTAGAGGCACAACACCCTTATCTGCTGAGCCACTCGATGGCCCAAGGGTAATGAGTTTTATAGAAGTGTGTCATGGTTCAGACTTGGAGATGCTGCTTTTTTTAGTATATAACCAAACAGTGATTTCAGATCAGTCATGGCAGCATTCACATGTTACACAGAAGTAAAAGCCATGACTCCAATAAAGAAAGTCTACATGTTCATGAAATCATTACTGGGTTTTGTTTTGTTTTTTTCTGAGAACACAGCCAACACCTTTTAGATGTTAATCTTTGATTCCATTGTATATAAGAAGTTCTCTTCTACCTTCCAGTTAAGAACTAGGAATTGTGGTACAATTGTGGCATAAATTTTATAGATGAGACCAGCCACATTATATTGGGTGTAAGTCCTGCTCCATGAGACAGAAGCCACACCTAACCATGTTAAGGCCAAGAACCTGAGGCTGGGTAGGTCATGGGCCCTAGGGGAGACCTACTACTATTACTCTGCTAAATAGAGAAATAAAATCACTCCTAAAGATACATTGCTATTCCCGTAGATCAGTGCTCAGCCCACATCAGCGAGGCTTCTTTTTTTTTTTTTTTTTTTTTTGGTTTTTCAAGACAGGGTTTCTCTGTGTAGCTTTGCACCTTTCCTGGAACTCACTCTGTAGTCCAGGCTAGCCTCACAGAGATCTGCCTGGCTCTGCTTCCCGAGTGCTGGCATTAAAGGTGTGCGCCACCACCGCCCGGCTGAGGCTTCTTCTTGTAGGAGATGATAATTAACATAGACCCACAGACATCGTCAGGAATGAAAATAAAGTCAGATTTCATTAAGAAATTCCAGGCAGGGCCGGGCAGCAGTGGCGCACACCTTAAATCGTAGCACTAGCAGGCAGAGCCAGGTGGATCTCTTTGAGTTCAAGGCCAGCCTGGTCTACAGAGCAAGATCCAGAACTACACCAAAACTACACAGAGAAACCCTGTCTCAACAAATCAAAGAAAAAAAGAAATTCCAGGCGAGGCCTTTGGTAAGCTGACCGCCAAGTGTCTCCTGCACTCTTTTTCCCATAATTCTTCTCACCAGTTCGAATAACGACACAACTCAGCAGTGATTGTTCAGGCTACTGAGAATCTTCAGAGAACTATCGCAGAGTTTCTAAACTCCAGTTTCCAGTCAATAAACTAAGAAGTCTTGAAAGAACAGAGATCAATAGTAATCATGGCCAGTACAACAGAATTTCTGTCAAGATGAGTCTGGGGGCTGTTCTCTGTGCTCCGTCAACTGGGCTGATGTCGGCAAATTTGGGAAGCCTGGAGAGCTTTTCTGTCTTCAGTCTTCAGAATTTCTTCTTTCTGTTCCCTTTGAATGGTATTTCCCCCGCTACCTCCTTTTTTAAAAAAAATCATATCTGGATTTTTATTTGACACAGCATTAGTAACAGGTATCAGTGAATTAGAATGTGACATTTCAATACATGTCCTCAATGTGTAATAACCAGATCAGGGTAATTAGAATATTCAGAACCTCAAACATGTATCCTTTTCTTGTATTGGAAACACTCAACATCCTCTTTGCTACCTTCTCAAAAATATTCAATTGGTCATCAACCATAATCATGTGCTGTACTCTAGACCATCGCTGCCTTCTTCCCGTTCCTAATCAAAATCAGAAATGAGATGACATTTTAATTCTTCTCTGGCTGCACTTAGTCTGACCTTTACACTGTCTTTCCTACAGCATTTGCACCTATGTCCCCTTTTCTGTATCTGGAATTAAGAGTTGCTTTGACTAAAGACATTTAGAACAGGCCAGGCATGCTGGTACACACCAGGAATACAAGCTCCAGGCACATGGAAGCAGGAAGATCAGGAGTTCCAGGTCATTCTTGGCTACATAAGGAGTTGGGGACTAGTCTGGGCTATATGAGACTTGGGATAGGAGAGAGGGGATGTCTCAGTAACATCTCCAAATAACTGGATCCACCACTGATATTCCCATTGTGAGAGCCAATAATCTCCCTTTGGTTTAAACTGATATGAATAAGTGGATACTGTTGGGTAACAGCATTATCAAAGAAAACCTATGTAAATTCACACCAGTGACACTCATTTCTGGAGGATGTTTCCCATTTATGCCTAACTACCATGCAACATAATCATTATGTACATCATTAAGTCTGTGTCAGATTAATTTAACTTCTTGGATTTTACTTGATGACATCTGTAAACATACACATGCACTCTGGCTTTCCATTCTTAGTGCATACAAATTAGTCATCTACCGATAAGATTTTTTTTTTCAAAGTGCATAATGTCAGTGCACATATACTTGAGGAAATAAGGGACCAAAGACTGGGAAACAGAACTACCATCTCCTTTTCCACAGGGATGCATCATCTCTGACTAATTAGGACATGGCTGAAAACCAGGGATTAATAATTTGCCCATATTTGCTTCAAGCAAAATCAGTTGAAAATAGCTTTTAAAGGGGTGAGAGATGAATGCAAAAATAAGGCAGGACAGTGTGTGTGGGGGGGGGTGGGAAGCAGACAGCAGAGTTGCCTTCTTTCAGCCTCTCTGGCCTCAGATCTGTAATATGGGAGTCTCAGTTCCTGCATCATGGGATTGGTATCTGCCTGAAGGTGGTCTTTGAGGGAAGGGAAGCCAGCCCTATTCTCCCTGCCTGCCTGAGTGATGTCTCCATATGGACTGTGATGGCTCAAACTCACCTAAGTACCGGAAGTGCTGTCTAGAGTCTCCCCGGGGCTTGCTGCATCCACATTGTGAGAACCGTTCGCCAAGTCTGGTGAAGTAGGCTAAGTGTTCTCCAAGAATGCTAAGTAAGGAGGGGTAAAAAAAAAAGATGAGATGTGAAAGAAGGAACAAGACAGAACGTATCCACTGAGCATTGCCCTGTTCGTTAAATAAAGCAAAAACAAGAGCTGGGAATAAAACCGCAGCTTGGTATACTGGGTGCTCTTTGTGATTGTGATTCATGTTGCTGCTGGTTTCCCAGAAGTTTTTGGGGGCTACCCTAAAAAAAAAAGGAGTTTAGAGCCAAGAAACACTGATACTGGTGTCTAAGAGGGTTTGGTTATGTCATGTTCTTTCTGAAAAAGAACAGTTAGAATTTTGAGCACTGGTCACACACTCAGGCAGGGGACGTAAAACACACTGGACTGGGACAGGAAGGAACTAACTTTGGGAATGTACTTATTGGAGTGCCTTCCAGTGTTACTTGAGATTAGAAGGTGGGCAGAGCTGCCTTCTGGAATGGTCTTTTCACAGACTCACACAGCCAGAAGAGACAACCGAATCCGGAGTCTTATTTCTTGCCTCAGGGAGCTATATAACTAGTCCATCCGATGTGAATTGCTCGCCAATTCAATTTTTAAAATGATTTGAAACCACTGTCTTCCCCAAATTCTGGGCTCATCCTCCATCCACCGCAGGTAGAGAGAGACACAGCTACCTAGGGGCTCCCTCCTGCAGAATCCCATGCCGCCTCTTTCCAGGCTATGGGTTGATGGAGCCTTGCACAGAAATGTAGGGATATGAATATTAATGCAGATATTAGCAGCACTCGGCCTTGAGGCACTTGCAGGGGTTTATGCACTGGCCTGTGGGGCCCTTCACCTATAAAAATTGCCTTCGGGGGGCTCTTCCCCTGGGAGTGCTGTGAAGGACACACTGCTCAGATATCGAGTCCCATGGGAACTCTGTCACTTAGGATGTGGTCAGAGGCAGAGCTGAGTCCTGGCAGGTCTGCTCTTCCAGTAAATGGGCATTGGAGCACAGCAATGCAGACAAATGATATGCCAACTACATTGTTCACGAGTTCTATACCAAGGCTTCAAAAAAGTCTATTTAATTCAACAGCAGCCCTGAAAAGTAAATCAGAGTTACCATGAGCAGTGGTTCTCAACCTGTGGGTCACAACCCCTTTAGGGGTCAAGCGATCCTTTTACAGGGGTCACATATCAGATATCCTGTACATCAGTTATTTACATAACAATTCACATCAGTAGCAAAATTACAGTCCTGAAGTAGCAATGAAATAATATTATGGTGGGGGGGTCACCACAACATGAAGAACTGCATTAAAGGGTCACAGCATTAGGAAGGTTGAGAACCACAGCTCTACAGTAACCTAGAACACCTCATTCAATCCAGACATAGTTCAGAATGAAGTGAGCACAGAGTGACCTGCCAATGCCCAATAATCCAAACCCTATAGGAGGCCAACGATGCTGGGACTGGCCCTACAGACATTCTCAGAACCATAGCTCTCCTGAAGCAGAGCTCGGTAGACTTCTCCTTAGGCATGACTCTGGGCATACCCCAAGAAATCAGCAGCCAACGAAGCATCCTCAATCCATTTGCAATTCTGCCCACTGAGTGATGTGTTCGAGATGGCCTTGACTGCTTGCTTTTCCTCCTTTTAGAGTATAAGTGAAGTGAACCATCCCAAGGGGTTCACAGAAGGCAGCAGATTAATGCGGGCTTTGCTTATTCCAACACAGGCTGCATTGTGAGGAGGAGGTTCTATCAGCCCTCTCTGTGGAACTGGAGACCCAGCTCATCCTGGAAGGGGAGGAGAATTAGAGGTGTCACTCACATTACTGGTGCCAGATCTATGGTCTCTAAAATCTGGATACAAGCATCCTGTACTTTGTCTACCGGGTACAATGAGTTAAGATCTTCCCCACAAGTCACTGAACATGGTACCCAGTCCTCTGCCAATGACCCTGGAGGTTGACTTAGGACAGTCATGATAGCTGTCTTTGGAAGAAAAAAAGTAAAGATTCTATCCGCTTATTGGACTTGAAAGATGTTGGTCATGTTTATATATTTTGTGAGCATTACCATTCACCAGGCAGCTAGAATAACCTGACTGAATGGCCCCCGGCCTAATATGGGTGGCCACATTGTTTCATGGGAAAGTCTAAGGACCTGAAATGGCTGAGGAAAACAAAGCAGGATTCTAGCTTCTGAAAAAGCATAATATGCCAATATCTGCCATACCCAGGCTGGTTCTGCCACAGGAATATGGGTAACACAAGCTAGTCACATCTTTCTGGAGTAAGGCACTTCAACTTTGTAGACAGATTCAGTTCCATCATCATCAATGTGTTTGCAGATACACTGTTGGCCACAGGTCAATGCAGGCAAGAAGAATTTAAACAAAGCCACACAGCCAGGAAACTGCCACAGAGTCAGTGGACCTTGATGTAACACTAATCTTAAAAGGCCTTATTAATAAATTTAAACAACAACAACAACAACAACAACGGAGCCAGATATTGAGGTGAAAGTTGAAAGATCAGAGAAACAGAACAAGCCACAGCCAACCTCACCTTCCCAACTCCTCAGCCAGTCCTGTTTCCACGAATCCTCAGACCAAAAGCCTCTGCTCTGAGTCCTCACCCCTGAGGGTCTCAGTTCAACTGTTGCTGCCACTAGCTCACCTCCAGGAAATCCTCAGTCTAGAGAGCATGAGTTCCTGTTTCCTCATGCCTTATATACCTTTCTGTGTCCTGCCACATTACTTCTGGGGATTAAAGATGCGTGTCCTTCCCAAGCAAAGACATGAGATCTCAAGTGCTGGGATTAAAGGTGTGTGCCACCACACCTGGCTCTGTTCCCAATGTGGCCCTGAATTCACAGAGATCCAGTTGGATCTCTGGCCTCCCGAGTGATAGGATTAAGGATGTGTGCCACCACTGCCTGACCTCTATGTCTAATCTATTGGCTGGTTCTGTCCTCCGATCCCCAGGCAAGTTTATTAGGGTACACGACATATCACCACAGACCAAGGTCAGTGATCAAAGAATAGTTTAAAGCAAAGGCCAGTGGCAAATTCAAAAAAATGGCTGGAAACAGACTTTAGAGTCAGTTTACAAATCCCGGTCCCTTACCTTAGTGACTCAAATGCAGGGATCAAAGGACCTCCCTCCCTTTTATAGAGAGGGCACAGAGAAGGTCCTTCCTCACTACAGTGAGGTCCCAAATGGATAGATAACAGTAGGTCCTTTCTCACCAGGATGTAGGGAAGAGGAATCCACAGCTAGTTATACACTTGCCCAGCACCTTCCTAGACCCATAAGGTACTAACTACACCATTGCTGCCATTTCATTATTACTCTACCAACAAAAGGACTGTGTTTTTTTCTAATGCACCATTGCTAATGGCCCCCATTTCAAATAACACTTTGTAAGTGGCAGTTCCAAGCTGTGGACCTCGGTCTGTGGGATTCAGTCCCAGGCTCTAATTTGTCCCAGGGAAGAAGTCAGGTGGCACAAAATAATTGCCTGGAAAATCTGAATTATGTTTACATCTTGCTGAATTGGGGGTGGGAGGAAGCACCCGGATAAAGCACCAATTTTCTCTCCAAAGTGTTTCAACAGCTCAATGGGGTTTTCCAGCCTCAGCTCTCGGTGCTACACTGACATTTGCCTTTTCCAAAGAGCACGAGTTGAAAATCTTAGCACCGTCATTTGCTAACATGCATCGACTCTGGTGCCCACTTCTAAAGCAGGCAACACAAAAATGCGTGGATCCCTGCTAACTCCTTTCTACTAATCAGTTCCTCTGGCTCTCTCGATTGCTCTTGTCCCCCAAAATTTGCCCCTTTCTGCAGAGAAGAAGCCAAAGTAAACAAATCAACAAAGTCCTTTTCTGAGCAGGATAGATGCATTGCTTTTTAGATGACTAGAATCTACCTTCTGGCACCTGCTCTTAGCTTCTCCCATAGAAGGAAAAAAGGGGGTGGGGGAAATGCAATAACACTCAAAGAAATTATTTTGATTCCCCCCATTGTGTCCTGGTAAACTTGTTATCTGTGCCATGGACCATAGTGCCATCTTCTTGGTGGCCTATGGCATGTTCAGACCACACTGGTGCCAGCAAAGTGCTAGAGAAAAGCCCTCTCCCCACGTGAAGAAGTCCAGTCCACCAAATGGGAAATGGTTCCCAGCATGCCTCTCTCTACCAGAGCACCGCACAGGTCAAGGCTGCATGATGACTGCACCCAGGGCTTCACCTGGTAGGCAGACTGCACTGACCCCACCACCTCTCTCAGTGAAACCACCTGTTTCTGACACTCCAGTAGTCTGGACTGTGTTCTTCTGCTCCGGCCCAGTGAAGATAAAAACATCACTTGGTTTTTGTATCCCCTGTGCAAGTGGTGAGAGGCTAATTGCTCAGAGTTTTCCCAAGCGGGAAATGTGAAATTCTGTAATATATTAATAGATTAGTGCTAACTGCTCTTGCATAGGACCCGAGTTCCGTTCCTAGCTTACAACCATCTGTATTTCCAGTTCCGGGGAATCTGATGCCCTCTTCTGGTCTCCATAACCAACAGTCATGCACATAGTACAAAAAAAAGACATACATGCAGACAAACATACACGTAAAATTAAAATAAGTCTTTTTTAAAGACCTAATGATCAATCCCTGTAGTTTTAAAAGAGGAAATATTTGCTAGAATGCCAATTTCTGTGTGATAGCTTTGTATACCTAAATATATATTTTACTTTAAAATTAGTATCATTTGGTTAGCACTTATGAAGCTCCTGGATGTTTTACGCCAGTCTACCTGTTGCCACCATACCACCTGAATGTGCCCAACCTCAGCTGAATGTTTACATCACTATCTCACGTGACTGGACAGGCCGCATGTTAGCTCAGAGCTCCATTTTAAAGAAGGGAAAGTTAAGGCTCTGTAGGACTTACTAGCAGACCCAGCAAGTAATGATTATCTGTCGGTTTCTCAAGGCAGTGAGCCTGGACCTGCAGCCTTGTGTCTGTCC